AGAGACTGGAGGCAGTTACTGATAGGGACTGTGATCATGAAGGTTTCCTTAGGAGGAAATCCTGCCAGGAGAATAGCAAAGGAAATGGCAGGCAGAAATGTTGGAGGAAAGCCAACGGGCCACACAATGCAGTCAGGCCCCAACCAGCAATGAGGTGTGACAAGGGGAGGGAGGTGTGACTTCAACGTGCCTATGCTTCCACTATTCCTGGCTGCTGGAAGGGTCCCTGTGGGAGGCAGGTACACTGTAATGAGTTAGAAAGCCCCCAAAGCTACTTCCTAATCTTTGGCCTTCAGACAAGGTTAGGTTGAACACAGGACATGTGCAGTGGTGACAACAATTCTGCTGGCTGCATGGAGGCTGGAGGAGGCAGCAATCCCCTGCAGTAGGCATGCAGCCTCCAGCAGTATCCTTCCAGAGAGGCAGAGAGGGTAATTTAAACAAACAAGGCCCCAGTGATGGAAATTTCAATCTCAAAGCTACCATGTGAGGGGAAATCATCTGACCACAATTTACCTGTTAGACTTCAAAAGTGTCTAGGTCTCCTCTAAAGAAAAGCAGCCTTTTCTTTAATGAAGCTAAGTACTGTATTTCAGCACTGCGTGTTGTGAAAAGGAAGCAATTTGGATTCATTTACCAAAATTTACCCTTCAGATGCAGTTAAGTGAAATTAAAAGTTTGTCTGAGTTGACAGTGTTCTGTTTTCCATCACCGCATTGTCTTAAAAGAAAGGATAACAACCTAAGTGCTTAAATTCCATCTGAACTGATAAGGTTCACTTTATACAGGCACACTTACTGCAGTTTATTACACACTGTATCCCCTTCATCCATCACCGGTATATATTTTTTTTCCCCTCTAAAATAACTATTGCTTATAAAATAAATTGATATTTGTGATGTCATTGCATTCATCTGGGGTTGAGTAGTCAGCACTGGGCTATCAGAAAAATGCCCTTTCCAATTACAAGGGAAATTCATTTCATTTCCCATTAATGGTAGGTTTTGCAGAGCTAAGCTTACATGTAGGACAAGAATCTCTTCTTTCTCATCACAATTCTTTTCCTTTAATTTCTTTTCTACGCAAGTGAAGCATCTGTGTGCCCTCAGTGTCCAAGTGCTGGCTTTGCCCAGATCTCTGCCTTGGCAAAAGGAATGGATGATCTACCCATGATGTCCTCTCTAATTCTTTCTGCTCACTATTGTATTCCTCTTCCACACCCTCCAGCTGCCATTGCTCCTTCTAAGCCTCACACCTCCCAGACACTCTCCCAGCTACTCACTCTGATTCCTTTTACCCAGGAGCCTTCCTCCCACCCTGCTGTAATGCTCCCACTCCTCTTGGGAGAGTTCTCCACTTGTTTGGGCTGTTCATTTGTAACCTTCAGCTTTTTGGCTGCCCTAGAACAAAGGTGCAATGCTGACTTGGCCTTCGCTCACTACTTTGAAACTTCACAGGCATTTCTCTGTTCCTTCAATTCACTTAGCAGCTCATCATGAATAGGCAGTGAATGATCTGTAATTACTTATATATATTACAGGGGAAACTGAGCTAACACAGTGTCAAAAGGAACAATGACATACACTGTGTGCCAGACTGCAGCCTTCCACTGCAAGGGCTTCACCTCCCCTTCCTGCTGCCCCAGTTGGCTTTTGGCTATGAAAGCTAGAGTCTTAATATTGTCTGCCTTCAAATTCCTCCTAAAAGCAGGCTTCAGATCTCTAAAATCAAGTCATTAAAATAAAATAATAATAAAAAAAAAAAGTCCTGCTATTTGAAATCTCCATTTCATTTTGATTCTTGACAAACAATTTCAAACATGAATTGTAGCCAGGCAGAACGTTTTCATCTTGTTTAGATTCAGAGGGAAGGAGACAGATGGGAGAGGAAACCACAGATTTCATCAATGCTTTCTGCTTTCTTATTAGCCTTCACTGAATTGTTCAGTGTAGCCAATTACCCAGGAGATCAGCAAATCTTAGCTATGTCAGAGAGGATGAGAAGACAGAGCAGAAGCTTTCTCATCCTCCACAGCAGTACTAGCCTTCAAACACATAAATCTAAACAGCGTCCACTCAGGATTGCCAACTCAAATGTCTCAGCTGCTAAGACAGAACAAAAAGGAAAGGACAATCTCCAAGGTATAACTGAAAGTAAATACTAATAATGATGTGTGACATTAAATGATGGCTCATTTTTCATGAGGCCATTTCAGATTGTAGCTATAATGTCAGATCAGACCAGAAGACTGTGTAAGATAAGGTCTTAGTGGAACCATTAATTATGGATTTCCTGGCTTTTATAGGCTGGAGTCTGAACTTTGATGTTTCTTTAAGATTGTTCTCCTGTGTTCATTTCCTTTGTTTCTGTGCTGGTAGCTTAAAAAAACACCTTAAGATTTCCATGGGAGCGTATGAGATAGCTGAGAAATCCATAGTCCATAAAAGTCCTGCAATTCATGGCTCATCAAATCCTCTAACCCATGGTCAATAAAGCTTTGGAAAAGAGCTTTGTGAACCACAGTCATTTCACAGTTCAATGAGGTACACACAAAAATCAGCAATCTGCCTTAAAGTCACCTGGATTTGTCCTTGACCTGTATATTTCTCTCTGACTTCTCAGGTTGAAAGATGACTCAAAAAGATGAATTCTGGAGACTTTTCATGGAAACAATGAATTTTACACAGCTTTCACCCCCCCACAAAGTAACAATGAACTAAATCTCCTTATTGTGTCTCAAAATTAAGTTTTGGGTGAGTTAGGAAACTCAAATGGGAAGAAGAACGATGCAGAAAGCCATAGTGCTACACAAACAGAGCTCAGTCCACATAGAGTGGCTTTGTATACAGAAGCAATGGTGCTCCAATTTCAGTCAGATCAGAGTATGAGCTTCCACTGCTACCAGATATCCTCCCAAAATGAGTGCTAACAGCCTCACCCTTCAGTGCTGATGAATTTTCCTGTGGTAACACAATATAAGTCCACGTGCTTCTCTGCTGCACTAGTAACACTTATTTGCCCATATTAGTCACCCTAGCTGTTTCTTCCCGAGAACAATCGTGCTACAAAGTCTAGGGACAGGCACAAATTTCTGCTCTTTCCTTGCCAATCAGAAAGGAACCAGTTAGAAAGAACACACTGTTTACTGCCTTGTGCAAGGTCCAGCTTGCAATTAAAACTGATGAAACCCAACTGCCAAAAGCAGAACACGCAGCAGCCAGTTTTGTGAAAGTTGAGATCCCATCCAGTTTATGAAGAAACCAGAGCTGGTTGTGAGGCTCTGATTTAGCTGAACAGTTTGTAGTTTTTGTTTTGTTTTGTTTCCAGGAAAACAGCAGAAGTTACTCCAGAAGTATAGAAGAACTAAAGCCATCTGAAAGCACTAAGGCAAACTTCCCTTCCTCCAGCCCTTCCTTGCTTCTAGGGCTCTAATTTCCCACTAACATCTCCCCGGGATCTTTCAGCAAGCAGGCGACACACAGTGTCTGGTTCATCACCAGCTTGGTGGGAGCGGAAACTTGTGTTTCCTCATCCCAATCTCCATCCCTCTGAAATGGAAGTAAAGGGATAAAAGGTTTTGGTTCAGATGAAATCTCTCACCAGCGCAGAGCGAATAATTTAACTCTAGCCTGGAGAGCTACCCTTTGAAAGACTTTTCCTAGGAATATTTCGTACTGAAATAAAAACAACAAAAGGAACACAAGTCTGCCAAAGCTACGCAAGAACCACAGCTTTAAGTCCCCAGTTACACATTTCCATAGCGGTATCAGGCCCAATATTCAATATCCTTTCTGTACAGATAAGACGAGGGCAGAAGGAATGTGGCTAACTGCCAAGCTCTTATAAGACTTTACTGTTTAAGGACTTCACTCATATTACACATACAGTGAGCTGGACCAGACACCCACGTGAAATGCTGGGACACCAACATTTGGCATCCCTCGGGTGGAAGATGAACAGAGAAGCCCCTTGTCTTTGGGGCAGTCAAATACATAGCACCAAATGCTTTTTAGCTCATGCTAAAACATCTTCCACAGAGAGAATCCAACACTGAACAAACTTTGAGAAAAAAACAAATGAATTTGGATACCATCCTTCTTACCAAGGCTGGCATTAGCATCAGAATAACCCTATCACAGTAAGACTATTATACTCTGCTGTAATAACAACACTTACATCACTCATCCTAAGAAAAAAATACAATAAAACACAACAAAAGGCAACTGCTCCTTTAAAAAGAATGAACAAAAATAATTTAAAAAAATACAGAACACAAATATGTAAAGGGCCTTTTTCATCAGTAAAAGGAGAGACTTGTAAGAAACTCTGACTCGTTTGGATTGCAAGGCGTTTAGATGTTGTGAAAATGAGAATGACTTTGCCTGTGCCTCAGTTTCCCAGGTGTAGACGTATGCAGCAATGAATACTTCTGAAGGTGTATTGTGATTTTTAGATGCGACATAGCCTAATCTGGTTCTAACAAGCCATAAATAGATAAGTGGTCAGATAGTTAGACAGATACATACACACGCAGTGTGGTTAGACTCAGGATGCTTCACTTTGTTGTTTCCAAGGCAATTGGAGGTGTTAAATACTTTCAGTATCAAAATATAGAAGATCGAAAGTTAGATACGTCAAAATCCTAAAGTTTGGAAGATGGCTCAGTCTTTGGGTTGAAAACTGACAGTAAAGATTGGAAAATTATTATTGGATAAGAATAATTTTTCCTTGACATTATTTCTCTCTCTTTTTCTTTTTTTTTTAAACTCTACTTTCTGTATATTTTAAGTATTCTAACCATCAGCTTTTGCTCTTGACTTTTAGATTAAATATTCCTATTAGCCTTCCTCTGAGTTCCTCCTTATGTTCCAAAAACAACACCTTACTCCTCATCTCTCCCATTTAGCTTTTCTCCAACCTTTTGTATGGCCTCATCAACAAAGCTGGAATCTGTAAAGGGCGGCAGGAAGAGGACAAGAATCATAAAAGTTATGACTCACCTGTCTTCTATCCGAACCCAGAGGTCATTGAACTGCCTCTGGCGATGGTGTTTGTGTTGTTTCTTGTGCCATTTCTTCTGCCTGCCAAACTCTTCCAGCTGGCTGATGCTATCCGGTAACAAGAGATGAGGAGACAGGCTGTCTTCTTCATCCATTTGTAGGGGCTTCAGGGAAGGAGATGTCAGCGGGACCTGTTCAGAAAGCTGCAGAGCAGGCAGGGCTGTTGCTGAGGACCCTTGTAAGGCAGGACTCGTCTTGGTCATTCTTGAACTGAAAAACACATTTGATAAGTAAGTTGAGAGATAATGCTAAGAAAAGGTGAAAGCAAAGGCCTATTCTACTTGTCGAGTGCTGCTAGCTGCTAAGAAGGTGTACGACAAGAGAGGCTTTTGCCCTGGAACAGTGATGAAGCACAGCAGTGATGTTTCCTAGAAAACTATCAAATAAACATTAATAGCAAAACTCTGAGGAAAACTGTTTTTAAACTTATATTTTATTTAGCTTATATTTAACTTGTCAACTAACGAATACCTTAAAAGATGCAAAAAACCCCAAATAAGATAACACTAGTTGCCTTTTTCTTTTTTCTTCCTTCCAACTTTGGACATCATTTGTTGAAAACAAATCATTGTTTTGACTGCAACAATAATTACACTCATTCATCCAAATTAGGACTAGTGACAGGGAAACCCAAGCTGTTGACAGCAGCATAGTCTAATAGCAAGGCTGCTGGGATAAGGTTGGTGAGACCCAAACTCTAGCAGTTTCTGTGTACTGGGGAAGTGAAGCAAAAAAAAGGAGGCAAATGGCCTCTCTAGGACCACCATGAAGTTATACTACCAGAGCTCTTAACTTCTGTTTGAAATACTACCATCTCTTGCATTGGACTCGAACTCTGCAGCAAAAGGCCTTCTATTGACTTCATCTTCTAGAATTTCACTAATTTTAGAAAAAAAGTCAATATAAGCTCTTCTTTGATATGCAGCCATGTCAGCTTGCATTTGAGAGCTAAGATATCTGAGACAAAAATCTAATAAAGCAGTACTGACACAAAGTGATTTTTTTCTAACTTCAGTAAAAGTTTCTGTTTGGTCTTAATTGCGAGAGAGGAACTTTTTCTGTCTCTGGGATGGCCCAGTGAGTTGTAGGTAGAGAAAATGGAAGAGAAATAATAGGCAATGCGAAGCTGTGGTCTGCAAAACTATTTCTATTACATGGATGCTATCGCTTTTATGACAGAAACGATTAAAGCCACGTGAAAAGTTTTGCCTCCTGAGTGAAACCAGCAAGATATTTTAATGAAAAAGTAATAAGAAATCCTAAACTTCATTGGTGACAATGTACAAAATGAACTGCAAGTGAAACCACATGTTTAATTTAAGGAACATTTAGTTCCAAAAAAAGTCACATCTACTACTAATGGCAGCCTTTTTTTAAATTTTTTTTCTTTTGTACTTTTGAAGTCCATTAAAATAGCACTCAGAATCGTCTACTGCATCACATTTTACCTACAGCTCCTTCCAATATTGAGCATTAATTGCTGCTACTGGGAGTGAAACTCACTGGCAAGCACTGCAGTAATTTTGTCACAATTTTGTCACTTGTAGCCAACAGTAATGACATTTTTCAGAGACCACATGACAGAAGCAGAAAATAAAGACACCTGTTTAAATTATTTCTAAAATTCTCCAGTGAAAATTCTTTTCGTTAATAAAAGACAAGAAAATCCCTGTTTTGTGTTTTTTTTCCTTTTTTTTTCTTTCCCTCTCCAAGCATTTAGACTTTTCTTGAATCAGTTTCAAACTCATTCATACTCATCCCATGCTCTATTTTACATTACAGAAAAATCTACTGGTACTGGCTATTTTTTCTTAGTAAGACTTTCTTCCATGATTTATGTTTAGCATGAGGTTTCATCATTGCAGCAATTTTCTTTGAGAGATCTTGGAACTCTCCAACGTTTTCACAACTTCTTAGACTGAGAGACACAGATCACAATCACTCCACCCATGGCTGAAGCACTGTCATCTGCAGAGTCATGTAGAAGGAAAGGCTTGCACAGGTTTGCAGTGGATAAATCCCTTCAGGTCACAGTAGACATAAAGGTTATGGCATGCAGAAACATCTTAAGAAGGCAACAGCATGGAGCAGATGCAAGAAACCAAAGTTGACAAGCAGTGTGAACATCGCGGCTGAAACTGATCTACAGCCAATATTTCTCTTTCCGTTGACCTTGTTCTCAACAAAACCTCACGTTCTGTTCAGTCAGCAATGAGATCCCATCTGCAATTCCCTGAGATGCTGACGGCAGGAGCAGCCACCACATCAGACTACATCTGCCAGTAAAACCCTGGGGCCACCACTCTGTTCCTTGAATGTTTTTAGAGACATCTGAACGCATACTTTCCACCATTTAACACCTACTATTCTGTTACAAATGTTTATCTTGCTCTGAACTCCTAGTAAACTGGAATCGGTGGAGAGGTGTTTTTATGGGTTGAGATTTTAGAAACCACTTAAGAGGAATGGCAGCTCACTTCTTATTAAAATTAATGACTTTGGGCATCGAAATCCCAGTGGTGGCTTTGAAAGCTTCTGGCTTAATTGTTTCCACTACCATCACATGAGCCACAGGTTGTAAACTCAATATTCCAGAACATTCTTCGGGAGGAGAATAAATAAACACTGAAGAAATGTTAAAATGTTGTAACCCAAGGAGGGTTATAAACTAACCACTTGTTCTTTAGAGTTGACACATAGGGAATACATCCATTGTGGCAACTGTGCATTACATTTGGTCAATAATGCTCCATTATTCCTGTACTACTACTGATTACCTCAAGACCTAAGAAAGACTGTTGGAGATTGTATGTTGACGCATGCTCACTTCTATGTTTTAAACTAACTTGAAGCTCTAGAATACTGGGCATGAGAGGAGTGAAATATCCCTGGTATAAACACTTGTAGACTCAACATCTCTGCCAAATAATTTAAAATATAATCACAGTATAGAAACAATTAAAAAGGTCTAAAAAATATACAGCAAGAACAACTGAAAGCCAGTCATCAACTTATAAAGAACGATTTTTTAGAACTGAATTCTTAATAACATCTAGAGACATGGTTTTCCCCCATCTGATTATCATTCTACAGATATTTAACCAGAAATAAAACTTTCAATCCATCTGAATATGCATATTGCAATTCAAAGCAAGGTAGGCTTCCTATCAGATACTCGCTGATTTAATTAGAATGCATTTACATTCTGGATATTTTCCCCTAAAAAATGACAGCACCATTCTCCCTCTCCTTTGGTTATCTGCAATAGGATACTTGAGCCATCAATCTCTTCACTGCATAAAGCTTTACCATTAGATTCACCGATTGTTTCATTGACTATTTCATGCCTTTCCTTCCCAATGCACTGTTAGCACAGCTGCACTGCATGAAACCATGGGGATGTAGTATACTTTTTTTTTTTTACTCCTTCACTACTGCTGAGACAGCTTTCCAAGATACAGAGCTATTTTTAAATCCAGAGAAAAGCAGGACTAATTTTCACTTTGTGAGGCCACAGTGCCTCTTCTCAAAAAACTTTAAGAAATATCCAAATATTTGGACCAAATATCCTGGTCCACACAAGGAACTCAGAGATTTTTCATAAGTAACTCGACACAACTCCAGGCTGAGAGGTTCCACCCATTTTTAAGTGTATAATTCCCACATGGGATCATCTTTGAGAAACTCAAAGTATTTCAGACCCTTAAGGTGGGTTTCTCTCATATCTGACCTTAATTTCTTCCCCTGGGATGTACAGTCCTGTGAAATATGTTCTCTAAAATCACAAAGTCCAAATAAGAAATTCAGAATGCCTCAGCAAGTAACTTAGGTTTCTTTATCCTAAAATACAGAACAGTGAAAACAGGGAAGCATTTATTCTTATTCATTCTTGAAAGTGCTTAATCCACAGACAAAGATCCCTGTGGTTTTGTTTCTCTTCTGGTGGATTTGCCATCGTTTTCTAATTCTTTTCAAGAATTAAAAGAACAAAACAAAAGATGCAAGTATTTTAGGCAGAGTTGTATGCTCCATTAGACTGCCTCAGCATTCCTCTGTCTTGCGGTTTCTAGTGCCTTTGTGTTGGCACTGATAATAGAAATTTGTCTCATCATCAGGATTTGCTAGGCTTACAGAAGGGATCTGGTCAAGAAAACAAAATTAACATCATAAAGTTCTGTACCAGCTTACTTTCACAATCCTCAGCTTATAATTGCTAAGGTCCCACTTTCACCCAACCCCAAGCCACCTGGGAGTCCAGACGTGCCCTTCTCCATGCCCAAGACAAAGCACTGCTCCTGCCCTCCCAACAGCCTCCCAGTTTCTACAGTTCAGAGGGCTGTGACCATCTCTAGACTTGAGTGCCTCTTCTACAGGCTGAACTGGAGCTCCCACGGAAACATCACACCTAGTCTTCAATGATGGGGATATTTGCAAGACTCAATTCATTAATGTCTCAGGAGCATCAGGTAGAGCAGACCTTGCCAACACACCTCTGCTCATTGATGCCATCAGGGTACTACTAGTGACATTTAGGGTGAGTTCTACTACACTGGCACTCAACATGGTCCTCAGCAGGGCCAGGAATTTGCCCCAGCTGTAGCTGATGAGAAAGATCTGCACAGAAATATCCTCTTCTAGCCAACTGACTTCCACTGCTGCTTAGTAACAACAAGGAACCTGTTCCATGAGATAAAACTTCTTAAGCACTTTGCTGCTCATACATGTTTTTCCACACAATTAAATCGGAGTACCTGTCAAATCCCTGCCTGCTTATTCATCTGAGGAAAATGCTCTGATTGGCTTAATTATAATAAGGTTATTTTATGTAGCATGCTCTTGCCTTAGGCTTGTTTACTACAGCTAGAGCATTGTCCTTTCTTAACGGAATTTGGAAACAAAGTTATTTTCATTTTTGCAACATTCTACAACTCACCATCAGTTAAATTAGGTTAAGTAATTAAATTAGATTACAGTCCACCAAAAACTTGGATGGTACCTCCGGACTCAAAAGCCACATCAGAGGGGACGTCTGGGAAGAACCACTGCTTTTCAATGACTGTGACCTTAGTTTGAGAGGGAATTTAGTTCTCTGTACAAACATATAAATGCAAATCCTCAACTCTGTGCATAAACAAAGTGAAAAGCTTGTGAGGTCAAGATATTCCCATGGATTTTAATGTTTTCTTTCCTAGTTTGAGGAACTATAAAAT